TAGGCACATTTTTTTAGAACACCCTGTATATAAGATAAGTTGCCTAATAGTAGTGAAAAGAAAGCCGTGTGGGCTTTCTGGCTTTCTAAAGTTATAGTGAGTTTTTAGAAAAGACTTTTATTGGGGAAGCATAAAATCATGTCTTCGATTAGGATTTTGCATTTTAGTATTAGGTGGGTGCAAAAGTTCTCGTTTTATTTTCAAGATTGTAATTTTGCCAGATTTCAACGGATTTGCTTGCATGTATTTTTATTAGAAAGAATAAATCTTCCGCTTTCAAGCGCTTTTTGTGGAGCTTCTGTTTCACACTGAGTGCCGAGATAAAAATGGAAAACTAAAACCATGCAAACTTTGACCATTTTAAGTTAGGTCACCAAAAATCTGGAATGCTGCAGAAAAATCTTAAATCGTCAGTACATATGTTTTTTGGCCTACTCTTTGCAATTGTGAAGAGTTTGTGCTGTTTGGACGTCTCTGTGAGAAGTTATGATTTTCGCGAAAAATCACAAATTAATTGATTTTGGCGTTTTCATGGTAAACTCGATATTCATAACATCTCACGGAGACGTTCAAACAGCACAAACTTTTTACAGATGCAAAGTGTAGGCCAAAAAACATATGTACTGAAGATTTCAGATTTTTCTGCAGCGTTCCCGATTTTTGGTGACCCAACTTAAAATGGTCAAAGTTTGCATGGCCTTAGTTTTCCATTTTTATCTCTGCACTCAGTGCCAAACAGAAGCTCCTCAAAACAGCGCTTGAAAGCGGAAGACCTATTCTTTCTAACAAAATTACAGGTAGGCAAATCCGTTGAAATCTGGCGAAGTTACAAATTTTTGAAAATGAAACGACAGAACTTTTGCACCCACCTAATATATACTAGCTGGCATACCCGGCTCCGCCGTATGTTCCGAATAGAAAATTCCTTTTCTTAACCGATCCGAACCAAACTTGGCACACATACACTTCGGGCCCCGGCGGGTGTCACAGTCCACTTCGTAATCAGCATGCTCGATTACCACCCTGTGCCAACTCCCAGCCCCGTAGCTCAAATTTTGCAAAAAATCGATAAAATCGATATCGATCGATGACGAAAAGTAGCCTATGACACCCGCCGGGGCCCGTAGTGTATGTGTGCCAAGTTTGGTCCGGATCGGTTCAGAAATGGAATTTTCTATTCGGAACATACGTACACACAGACAGACAGACATACATACAAACAGACAATCAGCTTTATACAGGGTGCTTGAAAAGTTCGTGGCCTAAAGTACTTCTAATTCGAATTTTGATGCGTTTTGTTTTATTGTGCTCATCGGACTTAAATACCATCACTTCTGTAAAAATTAGATTTTTTTGTGGTTTCTTTGATTTTTTATTAGATTGAAACACATCAGAATAGCTTTCCAAACCCCTTCCCTCAAAACGCTTGTTACAAAAAAGGAAACATAATTTTTGGAAACTTAGTACACCTTCTTAAAGCCCTTTCTTCAAGATTTCTTAAGTGTGCTCTCACTTTCGTAGAAGTAAGTTTCTTTGAAAAATATCGTACCGCGAAAGCCAAGAGATCCACTTTCAGGATCTTTTTGTCAAAAAGTCCAGCACCGAAATTTTTATATCTTATCTTAGAAACCTTTGCAAGCGTGCAAATTTCTCGAAAACGAATACAACGAAGGCCAGAGAGTTGTGCTACAAATACATGTTGAAATAAGACTTCTAAATTTTTTCAAACTGAAAAAATTTCAGCGCAAACAGGGTGCCGCGCCTGTCTGCTGTGATTCAGCGCATAAAAAATCTTTGTTAGCATGCTAATGTAGAACTTTTGTTATATAAAGAAAGTGTAAATCTAGGACTATTTGTAGTAAAAAACCAAAAGCTGTTTGCCTTTTCCGGCGTTGGAAAAAAAGAACAAAACAGATGACGCACTCTCCAAGGAAGCTGAAAAAATTGTTTACTTCCAAATTTTTTAGGGTATTTTGAGGCAAAAAATATTTTTCTTTGTTGATTCAGTGGTTTCAAGGTTTGGAGAACACATGTAGCAAAAACGCGTCAAAATTCGAATTGGAAGCACTTTAGGCCACGAACTTTTCAAACACCCTGTATATAAGATTACCGCACACCGCTGTACGGCACTAATGTTAGGCCGCACGTAGTACTGGGACCGGACTCGGCACGAGATGACTTTCCACGTAAAATCCTCATAGGTTCAGAATTGCCTGGATGCCTTTAACTTTCCTTCTTGGTAAAACCAAGAAGAAAACATGATCTTTTGTTTTTTATTGCCCCAAACAACGCAGACTTTCAAGTTTTTGCTTTTTTCAAATTTTGAAATAGGAAGGATTCCTTCATAATCTATAATCTTGTTAGAGCATGAAGAGTTAAACTGGAATAATGTAGTGAAAGTCGAGTTGCCCCAAACAGGGTTTGGCACAGGTGGCTTGCATACAACCTGCATATCGTTCTTGGGACAAAAGCAAACTCTATATCGTTTTTATGGGCCTAAAAAAGTACAACTTATTTTGTGTTTCTAGCCAACGTGTCATTTTTTACGTTTGTTCGGATGACCTGGATAAGGTCAAAGGGGACTTCGTAAAATTTTGCTGAAGTCAGGGGAAGGGGGCGGAACTTTGGGGCGCAGACTAGGGCACGGCCCAAGGGACAGCGAAAAGAACTCACTAACGGCTGAGTACGCCTCCAAACTGGACCCCCGGGATCGTATTATCGCACGTTTTGCATCGTGTTTGCATGCTTTCGCGCGAGGACCCATTCGAAGCTGAAGTGTCGCGCCTTGAATCGGGAGGAGAACGGAACGTCAGTTTGACCGCCACCGCGGACTGCTGGTCCTGGAACGACATGCAACAACGCTGCAAAAGAACCAGTTGACCACGTAAGACATCTCAAACTGGCGGCCTTCGTTCCTCTACCCCCATGGATCCATGCAGAATATGATCCTGGAGTCCAGTTGCAGGCAAACATCTCAGCCGTTAGAGCACTATCTGAGCTGCCGGTTGCGGTCTTAGTTAGGGTCCCAAAATTACTGTTCACGTAAGATCCCCATATGCACAGAATTGCCTGGAAGCTGCGTTTAAGATGAACTGCGCATGGATGAATAAAGCGGCGTAAAGAGCTCCATAAGAAGGTAGTAGAGAATTATGCTCTTACATGCGGATAAGTAAATAACACCCTCTCTCGGACTGTTAATGACCATATCTCCTGGTTTTGAGCGTTTATGCAAGCGAGCCATCTAGGTTTAGTGACTGTCCCCCTCACTGGTTGTAGGAGTGATACCATGAGAAGTTTCATGCAAATTCTACTCAAACTTCGTATTTTGTCGAAGTGATTGGCTTTGCATTTCAGAAATTCAGAAATTACAGAGCATGCAAATGACCTTATAAAGTATCAACTGAAAGAGGATAATATATTTGAACGGCCGACAAAATCAAAGCATTCACTCATTTCTCTTTTCGAAAACATACAGTTACTCTTAAAAGTCCATTGCATTTACGCTAAAACATTTGAAAGAGCAGAAGAGCAAAATCCAGCAAAAAGATGAAGAGAATAATTTCAAGTTGGCAAGAAGCATGGTTTTGTAGCTTTCACAGCGTTTCAAATATCGTTTTAGTATTCCGAGAACCCTTGGTATGTCTTCGAAGAAAGTATGCTAATAATAACGCCTAGAATTCTTTTGCCTTTTTCGAGATGTGCAGAAGTTAGTGTGGCATTCTGAGATGTTCCAAAGAACGAGCATACAATCTCCTAGAATTAATCAAAATACTTTGCTCATGCTGGATGTCTTGGCTGTTATGAAGCTCTTTTGGTCTTTGAAAAAGTTAACGGTACACAGAATTCAACGCACGAGAAAGTGGACACGACAGCAGCGCTGAAAGATGCTGTGAAACGCTAGGTGGAATAACAAAAAAAATTATGTGGATTGTAGTATTTTGCCAAAATAAGTTGTACCCTTTCAATCAACTGGCTGGCGGCTGAAAGGCGGGGCTTCGTGACCTAATTAAGGCTAGGTAATGGCAGAGAGCACGCGCGCGGGAGAGACGCAGACTGCGTTGCAGGCGCGAGCAGCCTTAACTGGGTCACGAAGCCCGCCTTCCAGCCTGTTAAATCAAAGTTAGCTTTCGACTCTGTCTCTTTACCACGGATTGTTCCGTTTTTATGCAGTAACTATAAAATTTTGGAGTCAAAAATCCAAACTTTGCAAAGTGGTATTATCTGATCGAGATTTTATGCTAGTGACTTGTTTAGACTGTCCGATTTACATGTTTGCTATTGAAACTTAGCAGCGATGCAAACTTTGCTTGCCCTTCTTCTTTCTGGCCTTTGGCACAATGTTCAAAGCTTTCATTGCAACAAGGTAAATGTTGCAAATTTAAGTTTCACAGTGATCCTACTCAAATACAGATGAACTGTGCAAACGAGTTCCACAGATTGATCCGGTACCCGCAGGCCAAAGTAACGCTGAATTAGTGAGAATCGAAAACTGTCGAAACGATGTAACTATTGTTTGTATCAACACAAAATGCAGTTTAACAACTTTATTTGGATGAATCACCGGACTGTCACACCCTGTCGACTAGCTAAGGCCAAGGAAAGCAAAATGGCATCAATGTCAAAAACATACACCAATGCTATCTCTACTCTTGAGTCAATTATTAGAACGCCTTAGCATCCTTTGGCTTCAGCAAACTCAATTGGGAGCATGCTTAAGTACAGGGCATTTGAAAAATCGTGACGATGGCGCGACCGCGCGCGACACTCACGCCATTTCCGGAAATCGCATTTTTTTGGTTTTCATTTCTAGTCGAATGGTTTATTTGCTCGTGTATGATAAATTTAGACACCGGAAGTGACTGAGTGAACGTTGAGGTATTGTCTTTTCTTGTATGAGCGTTTTATGCTTCTGTTAGGCAAAGTCCGCAGTAAAATCCGTCGTCACAATTTTGTAAGTGAACTATAGGTTCTGAAGTTTCCTCTTTACTCAGCGATTTGACCTTCGTCCACGATTCTGCTAGAGTGGTCGGAAAGTAATGGGACCTTGATTTTTCATCTACAATTCGAGATTTTTTATTTCCATCAAAATGAGCAGGCTGCGACTCAAACTTACCTAAGCGACCTATCATTCCGCTAATGCGCAGCCGCTCCTCTCTTACAGCCCTTGGCGTGGCGCCTCGATGAACTCGACAGGGGTTTCTAAACATTTTTCAGTCTTGACCTGCTATACGTAAAGTCATGATTCAAGTGATATAACATCCAAAAGGGCTTTTCAAGCTCTCTCGAACGGTGTATCAAGCATTCGTCCTCTTTGTTTCTGGGTAAAAATGGCAAAAATCTTGAAAATTTGCGATCTTTAGGCGCAACAAAAGAACGAGAAGTCGTGTTTTAGCTTATATGTTCCAAAGACTTATAAAAGTTGGCATGAACTGTATACGGATGGATAGAGCATAAGGAACTCTATCGGATAGGATCCAGAAAACTTACATTGCTTGCAAAGAAGTAAAATACAAGTGCCTCCGTTCTCGAAACTGCTAGATCATATGCCCTGACTCAAAGCATTGACATCAACGAACTGTCGTAGATTGGACGACAGTTCCCTCACACATGGCAGCAGTGGTACTTTGGAGTAAACTCACGTGCTTGACTGCGCAGATACTGCTTAGAGTTCATAATCTGTCGAAGAGATTGACTTCATTTCAGCAAATTTAAAAATTATCATACATGTGAATGCCCTTATAAACAGGGCTTATCAAGTGCAGTGTCGGGAGCACCAGCACCTCCGTTCCCGCCCTCTTTCGCGAACTTGCTGATCACTTTTTCACAGCGAGCATGGGAAAAGGCGGAGCCTCAACTGATTAACTACAGAGCTCCTCAATTACAGAATCGCTTACACCAGCAGCTCCCGCCCCGCACGGCCGCATCGTCTAAATCCGCGCCGTGTCTGGATGCGTGACCCGGGCATTTTTCCAGGCCTGATCGATGGCGCCGGCGCCGGCATTGTATTTTCTCGGCCGTTTCGTCTTTTTTCTTCGTTCTTTCGCTCACTTTGCCCTCAACTAGCCTCATGATAATTTTGCGATGTCATCTCATGCCGACAATCGGCCTCACAGTTCTTTTGTGCACCTAGCTGATGTTTTAGGATTTTGGTTTGGCAAAGATGGGATTTTCTCGTTCACTTTATCTCGCTTCTTTATCTCGCTTCTTCGTTTTTTCGCGCTGTAATCCCTCATAGCAGACAAACACACAGCTCTTACATTTGCATAGCGAGAAGAACAAGAGCTGGGAACCACACAAATACCAGAGGGCTAGAAAAAAACTGTTGCGCTGAATTTCGGCATATTTCTTCATCGCAGAACTAGATAAAACTTACTGAGGAACCACAGCGCGAGAAAAAACGAAGAAGTGCGATAAAGTGAATGAGGAAATTCCCGTAGAACATCAGCTGGGTGCACAAAAGAACTGTGACGCAGACTGTCGGCATGAGATGACATCGCAAAATTATCATGAAGCTAGTTGATGGCAAACTGAGCGAAAGAACGAAGAAAAGAGACGAACAGGCCGAGAAAATACAATACCAGCGCCGGCGCCATCGATCGAGGCCAGGCAAAATGCCTGGGTCACGCATCGCAGACGCGGCGCAGGGTTAGGCGATGCGGCCGTGCGGGTGGGAGCTGCTGGTATAAGCGACTCTGTAATTGAGGAGCCCTGTAAGATATTAGAGAGCATGTTCGTGGAAGTGGTGCAGACTTCCGCGCGGGAGTGGAGATGTGATGGTGCACCCAACACTGCAGTTGGCAAGCCCTGTAGCTATTGGCGGAAGGAGAATAATATTTTTCAAAATTATTCAAAATTAGAGCATATAATGAGTAATTCAATAATTATTTATTTACTTATTCAATAATCATGTAATTCCTTAATTCATAAGAAATCCGCAGTTATTCTCCAAGTGTTCCTTCACTTTCCGACCACACTAATACTTTCATTCCAACCCGTGGAATGACGAACGGCACAAGTAGCTGAATTCAACAGGATAAAGGACCATATTTACCGGTAGCCTTCTCCCCCCGCGACAGTAAAAAAATCGTATGTGGATCTTAATTTATGCTTTTTCGATCAACGAGGTTGTTCGCACTGCTATTGCCACCAAATCAGCAAAGAAGCTATCAAATTCAAGCTCATGTTCCGAGTTCATATATTAAAAGTCTTTGAAATGCTTGTTTTTCTTTCTTTGCATTGCTCATACTTGTGGTACGCAAAGCCCACACTTGTGAGCACTCTTGGTCGCGTAAGTTATATTGCACTGCCTCTATTCGCTACCTTAGAGTTTTTTTTGCGAATTGATGTGTTTTGAGTAAAGGACATCGCAGTGTAGTGGAGAATTAGACGGTTTGGATCACCCTACGCGATTTGCCAGTTACGAGATATCTTCAAATGTAACGCCAGCTTACACAATGTTTAGCGTGTACAGCTTACTGAAAAAATAAATGCCATGCATTATGTACTTAAGTTTTGGACAATTTGACTTCTATTGACGTCTCTTACCATTTGAAGTTTGAGCTGCGGGGCTGAGAGCTGGAGGGGGTAAGTGAGGGTGCTGATTATGGATGAAAATTTACTTTATCGATTTTGTCGATTTTTGGAAAATCTTGAGCTACGAAGTTGGGAGTTGGTACAGGGGGTGGGGGGGGGTATGAGGATGCTGATCATAGGTGCGATAGGGGAAGCCGGGCTCTCCCCAGGTGAAGGGGGTCTCGGCTGTTCCCGACCTTCCAGGGTGAAGGGGGTATGTGAGTCTAGGAGGGGGGGGGGAGGAAGAGAGAAAAGGTAAAAAAAGCGTAATATGAAGAGCTCTAATTTGTACCTTATTTAGGCACAAATTGAAAAAAAATTTAAAATTTTTCAAAAGAAATTAAAAAATTTAAAAAAAATTGATATGAAGATCTGTGCTCCTGTTTCACTGCATCAACAAAAAACGAAAGCAATAATGTTTATCTAAAAAGATGTACAAGTTAGGAACAACTTCATTTCCTGCACATCATCATCAACAATATCACTATCGCTAACGTCAGAAACAACAAGTTCGCTGCCTGAAAAATCTTCTTCTTCCTCCAAAAGGTCATCGGAGTAGAAGTAGAATTGCGTGCAAAAGCGTTCTGAGTCGAGAATGGATTTGAAACTTTCTTCTTCTTTTAAGCGGTTTTGTGATTTTTTTCGTGGCCCTCTGGTAGCACCAGGAAGTCAGCAGGTAGGTGACCAGTTTCTTCATACCTTCTTTTAGGATATTTCAAAAAGTCATGCGATGACAGCCTGTCTGGACCACTTGTAGCAATCCTTTAAATGAAGTTTCTACAACAATATGTTCAGTAAAAAAGGTTGACAAATCTTAAGAAATTGCTTAGATGCTCCACCGTTGTACGAGTTCTGCGTTGCGTTCTGATAACAGAGTAGATAGAAAATCCCCTTTCCACCTCTGCCGTACCAGTCGGAATGGGAACTAGCTTTGCTAGTAAGTCCATCAGATTTTTGCGGTAAGTAATGGGAAAAGAGCCAAATCTCATATGCTTTCGCAACACGGGAAGGAAATAGTGTACTTTTTGGGCCTTGTCGAACTCTGGCTTCACCTCCTCTGGCATACGTCCTGTTAGCTGATCAGAAAGCTGCTCAACTTCTTCTTCAACAGCATCTGCGGAATAGCCGAAAAAAGGAGTACTATGCTGCGCGTTGGTTTTTTTTTCAATATCATAGGTCATATTGTCACAAGGCGAATAACTTTCAAAAGCATAAAGCACAGAGTTGGGTTCGCACTCCAGCCGGAATCTAAGCGCAGTAACTATGCTTTGTACTGACACCTTCCTTTTGTTCATATCCATGTTTGTGAATTTAGCAGCCTTGAATTCTTCAGCAACCTGAAGATCAGCAATGGACTTCCTGGACATTTCCTCATTGAAACTAGACAATCTGCTTGGATTCCTTATGCAGGAAATCAGAGAGTTTCGCTCAATTGCCAACTCTGTATCAATGTCGACAACATTTTCGTCGGCGTAAGATTCTCCTTCTGCCTCGCTGTTGAACTGGAACACATGCGAGTCATCTGCGATTTTGTAAAGTATTCTGCCTGCCGTTTTTCAAACTGCCAACCTTTCCAAAACATTGAGGAATATTTTAATAACATGTTATTCTTCTGAATGTCTTAGAGTTTTTAATTCATTGAAACCAACCATTGTCTACAAATTAGGTAAGGTGAGTCTAGAGCGTTTTCACGAAAGTGACCTTCTTCAGCACTAGGTTTACAGAGTATAGATTCCAGAAATGGGCGGGTTTTGTGTGAAGGTGTGGAAATTCACCAATCTCCCATAGCTTTTTGAGTGTGTGCTAACAATGATGGCATAACTGTCAATCAAAAGCGCATTTTTTACCAAAAAAACGTAAGCGTATAACAACGATAAGCACGCTCAAATAGACGCGTTTGCTCACGTTCCCGTTAGTGCTGATAACGATTTTAATCCACAGCACATTTTTTACTATTAACTTGCTCCACCTCGCTCTTATTAGGTCGTCCAGAAAGTTTTTGCGCATGAATTTCAAAATTCATAACTTCTGATTTTTCCAACCGATTTGACTGCTTTCACCTTTATGTGAAAGGGTAAGTCATGCTCTTTATAATGATATCTCAGCTGCTTAGTAATGGTCATCTGTTGCATAGATAGGAGCGATAGAAGAAAAATGGTAAAAATTTTACTTTTCTGTGTAGGGTTATAAAAAATCGGAGACTTGCAACAAAAATCGGAGCAGTCAGTACTGTAGGTTCTTTCACCAGCTCTTTCTAACAGTGCAAAGTTTGCGCCGATTGAGCGTCCCCATGAAAAGTTATGGTTTCCCTGAAGAATGCCAAAATAAATCAAATTCGCCTTTTTGTACTGCTTGCTCGGAAATTATAACTTTTCATGGAGACGCTTAATCGGAGCAAACTTTGCACTGTTAGAAAGAGTTGGTGAAAGAACCTAAAATGCCGACTGCTCCGATCTTGTTGCAAGTTTCTGATTTTTTATGACTCTACACAAAAATTCAAATTTTGAGTGATTTTGTTTTGAGCTTCTATCTATGCAAGAGATGACCATTACTAAGC